AAACGAGCACTAAGAAAATAGATATATACTTACATTAATTGATATGGCAACCCGGTGGCCCGAGGCAGTTCCATTGAAAAATGTGACAACAAAAGACGTGTGTGAAGCACTAGTTACTATCTTTACAAGAATGGGTTTTCCTGAGGTAATCTTGTCAGATAATGGGCCTCAATTATCGTCGGAGTTATACGGGCAGGTGTGTGAACTCCTTAATATTAGCACCAATCATTCGTCAATATACCATCCACTATCGAACGGAATGGTGGAGAGGTTAAATGGCACTTTAAAAAATATGTTAAGAAAAGTGGCTAAAAATGAACCCGAAAACTGGGATATCGTTTTACCGGCCATACTGTTTGCCTACAGGGAAGTTCCCAATGAGACCACGTTGATTTCACCAATTGAATTGATGTTTGGTAGAAAAGTAAGAGGCCCCATGTCCATTCTAAAAACGTTATTTACAAAGGAAAATATTGAGGAAGAAAATAAAACCATATATGAATACATTATTGATCTGAGGAATAGATTGAAAACCGGTTTGGAGGAGGCCCAAGCCAACACAAAAGCTAAGACAGCAAAACATAAATTATATTATGACTGCATTGCAGTTGTCAAAGACATTCAAATAGGCGATAAAGTATTAGTGCTTAAACCAAGGAAAGGAAAAAAAATGACATTGAATTCAGAGGGACCGTTTGAAGTAACTAGAATTATATCAAAATTTAATGTTGAGGTTAAAAGAGGACAGAAGAAGAAATTTTATCATCTCAACAGGATTGTCAAGTATTTTGATAGAAAGGGATCAACTATTAATAAAGAGGAGAAAAAAAATAACGTTAACTATGGTGGGGTGGCCGTGGTGATAGCGGAGGACAGCACAAACACAGGCGATGAAGAACTGAATGTCCCGACAATAAATGTAGCTGAATCCACGGAGGTAGACATTAATAAGGAATTAAATGATAAACAGATGGAAGAAATAAAGAAGATTTTACATGAATTACAAGGAGTAATTTCTGATATTCCAGGAAAATCGTCAATAGGAGAACATAAAATTGAACTGTTAGATAAAAAACCGATAACATTAAAACCCTACATTATCCCAGCTCATATGATGGGAAAGCTAAGGGAAGAAATTAAAGGGATGTTAGACCTGGGAATCATAGAAGTATCAAACTCACCATATTCTTGACTTTTAGTGTTAATAAAGAAGAAAGATGGCTCGTTAAGAACTTGTGTCGACTATAGGAGACTTAATGCAGTAACCAGAACGGTTGCTGAAGTTATTCCAAATCAGGATGTGACACTAGCTCACATGGCAAAAGCATTATTTTTTAGTAAATTTGACTTAACTAAAGGCTACTGGCAGATACCAATACACGACGCTAGTAAAGAATATACTGGTTTTCAGGGGCCAGAGGGATTATATCAATTTAAATATATGCCGTTCGGATTAGCTACCGCCCAGGTAACATTTAACAGGATACTATGTAAACTCTTCGGGCAGTTAGATCACGTAGTGACATATTTTGATGACATTTGCATACATACAGAGGACTGGGAAACCCATATTAAGGTCCTTAGGAAAGTCTTTACTATCATGAAGGAATCAGGATTTACCGTAAAACCAAGTAAGTTGGAGCTAGGGAAAAAGTCTATTAATTTTTTGGGACACACGGTAGGAGGTGGATTCCTAAAACCGGATGACAACAATTTAAATAAAGTGTTGACAATAGAGAACCCAAGGACCAAGAAACAAGTTAGAAGTTTGGTGGGTCTCATTTCTTATTACAATAAGTTCACCCTAACTTTTCTACACTTACGCCACCTTTGACGGACCTGACACAAAAAGATAAACCGAAAAATATCATTTGGACGGGCGAATGCCAACAGGCATTAGACACAATACAAACGTATTTAACTAGTAAACCTATTTTAATGTTACCAGACTATAGCAAAACTTTTACAGTTAGAACTGACGCTTCAACCAAGGGAATGGGGGCATAGTCTTTTACAGAACAGAAACAACATCCTTCATCTCATTAAGTACATAAGTCGAAAACTAATGGATAGGGAAACGCGCTATTCAACAATAGAAAGGGAATGCTTGGCCATAATATGGGGCATTCAAAAGTTGGCTTATTATCTTATGGGTGCGAGATTTATTCTTCAATGTGATGACCAAGCATTAAACTATTTAAATACCGTTAAATTCTGTAATTCGAGAGTCATCAGATGGGCATTAATGTTACAGGAATTCAATTTTGACATTGAATATATCAAGGGAGAAGAAAACACTATTGCAGATTTTTTATCTCGACAATAGTGAGAAAAAAAAATTGTTTGTGGAGGAACTGAGTTTTCAAGTCCATGAGTTGGGAGGTGAAGATAACGATTTTTATTTTTTATATTTTTTTTGTTGCAGGTGATTAGTTGCTTTAAAATCATTATACTATTGTAAAGATTATCTGCACTGATTTATTATGAACAGTAATTACTTAGATATGCTAGAAATAACCCATGATTTGTGTTGTTGTTTATGCGTGTAAAATCTATGTAATTAGATTAATAATTGTAAACTATATAATACTTATAGGATTACTTGTTGGAGATTGTTACTTGCTGTATGAGTCAGTATGACCCAACAGTGATTCCATACCCTGACTTTTCATTTTGGAAGATTCTACTTAGCGGAAGAGGGGGGGGTCAGTCGAGGGTATGAGAATCACTGTTGTTATGTGCAAAGTGTTGTTGTCATGTTTGTTAGGGAAAAGATGTTTAGTTCAAGATTTTATGTGTAGCCGTATCGTTTGTGTGAGATTGTTGTGACGTAATTGTGTAGTGGGAAGTGACGCGTTAGTTTTGGTTGTTGTTAGAGAAGAGAGATGGCGGTTGTTGTGCTGAGAGAATTGATGGCGGATATACTGTATGAATTGTTGGATTGGTATATTGCGTATTTTTCGGTTTGAATGATTTGATTATCAAATTCTGAAACTACACATCAAGTCTTGTTCATCGAATAGTGTTAAATAAACTTCTCTACAGCTACAAACCTGTTAACGTTGGTTGTATTAGTAACTGTTGATATTGCCTACATTGTAGACTAGTAGACACTCATTGCCATGAATAAATAATTAAAACACAACGGATTCAACGTCTCGACACATCCATCACAACCAGATTAATTGACAATTGAAGTGGTTAGATACCTAAAATCCTTGTTGAATAATTATCATATTAAAAAAAATATCTTAAAATACTTAAAAATAGGTTCGACATGGAGCGTCGAGGTTGGGTTATACACACATAAAAAATATATACAAGCTAATATACCTGACGTGGCCAGGGACTGCATGAGGTTGGGTTATACATATATAATATATATACAAGCCAATATACCTTGCGAGGCCAGGGACTGCATTAGAACAAACAAAACATTCTACAGCCTTTCAGTTAACATTGAAATTAAGCGACTTGTAAAAAAACGAAAAAAAAAAACACACCCCCTCTATATTAAAAAAAAAATAAATGATGACTTTTTGCCTATGAAAATACATTCATATTAACTTTTGTGGACATAGAAACAATGTCAGCAGACTACTAACTTTTTTGCTTGGTGGCCGCCTGGTCTAAATTGAGTCAGTCCCAAGCTAGTTGACTAGAGTTCAATCCCCAGCAAATGCCCAGGCAAGCAGAAACATAAGAAGCACCCCGGAAGGATGGGACTCACCCCCCTTGAATTGAAACTCGTCTAAGTGAAGGAAACTCTGAAATCAAACCTTAAGATACAGTCCCGTTGGCGGTATGGCACAGACTTGACACAATGAAAATTCCTACAAATCCTGTGACTTTTAACGCATAAAGAACACAGTGGAACACATACACACACTGCTGGTCATCTATTGCATTCTGGTCTTTTTTAAGTTCGTCTTGACCAAGTCTTGCCGTTGGATCAAATAGGCAAACAGATGACAGTGACAAGCACCTCACCCTCAGTTTAAAAAAAGACAGCTCATCGTCTAAGCTACTGCTGCCGTCGGCAAATTGCTTGAGTCGGCTGTGCGTGCCAACACCGAACAACAACAAAACACGATTAGATGAACAATCATAAATGAACTTGATACTGACGTTTTTTTCGGAACATTTTACAACTTAAATTTCTTTGTAAGGACTTCGTGGTTATCATTGTTTTCCTCTTTCATAGTATTATTTTTGGAACCATTGATAGCGAACACACATATGGCGGTGTTTGATAGTCAACATCATTAATTTATACTGTATTTTTAAAAAAAAAACATACATAAAAATAGTAAAGATACAAAGACCGTCAATTTTAGACATCAGTTTTAAGACGCAAGTTGTTATTTTGTAGATTTCGGTACAATAGTTCACGTTGAGATCATTGTTGCTAAGCAAATTGATTACATTTAATGAATACAATTAATTTATTCGATGCTATTTCACATTGCTCCAAAGTGTAGCTCAAAATAGTCTTAGGACATATACTTTTAAACTGGAACAAATGAGGTATTTGAATGGTCAAAATTCAAAACTATAACTTTACCATGACTCATGAAACTCGTATGGCAAATTCGCAAAATTTGTATGCAACTTTTTGTGTTTTTTATTTATGCTATGAGTTCTTACATATCAACTCATGTATTTAAATATAATTGTGTATTTTTTAATGTCACTGAAAATTATTTTCATTTCATGATATTAAAAGATTACCTATTTGATACAATTTCATGTGAGTACAGAAAATATGTAACATTATAGAACCTATGACAAAAAGCAAGCTTACCTTAACTCACCTTTAGTGTAAGTCATGCCTCTGTCTTGGCCAAAATAATTTTGGATTCCAACGCTATAAAGGTACGCTTTGTTTATTTTATTTTTAAAAAAATTTAATTTATATATTGAATGTGAGGCCACTGATGATGATAATCGATACACGTCTTGATCAGTTGCAATGTAACTTATTAAAAAAAACAATAACACCCAATTATAGCTGCCTTTAGTTTTTACATATTGTTTAAAAAGTTAATAAGACACACACGTTATCAAAAAGAAAATTATTTATTAATTAGCGAGACACAAATAGTATTGTCAGTGACGTTTTGCTTTAACTTCCATTTTTTTACTATAGGCCCTTTTGTTTCTTAGAATAAGTTTTTTTTAATGCCTAAAATAAAATAACAGAAGGCCTTACATTATGATTACATCAAGGTATCCGCGAACAACATCTTAATTTAGGGTGCCTGGTTCACATGATAAAATATGTGTGTTTCAGATCTGATAAAAGGATAAGAAAATATGTAGGCTATTGTCCCATACAATACCAACAAAACCATACAATTATTTCATAGGGAATATAAAGATCTTCAAAATAATTGTGTCAAAAATACAAACCTTGAGAATGAAACATTTGAAACTACAAAATTGTATACTATGTTTATATAGCTGCCCTATTTGCACTTCCTCAATGAAACAGTAACACCTGAAGACACATTCAAACACCGGCAATTCGTTGGAAATAATTTTTGTGTGGTCAAAAATGATTTTTTTAAATCTTTAAGTTCTCTCGTTAAACATCACCATGGCATTGCATATCACCGCAATGCTTACGATTTGTTCAATTCTCCAAGAATTCAGATGTAACCACAGTAAAGGTAACCAAACTTACGGGCATCTCTCGACGGTCATGACAGTAAGCAGACTTGACCAGCACGAACAGACTCCACTGGCATTTCGCACGTTAAAGTAAAACCTAGTCTTTCGCGAAGCTTAAAAATCCTTAGTCATAGAGCAAGTTGGAGAGATTTCCCCAAGGGCCCGAACAACGAAATAGAGGAAATCTGTCACGGAGACTGCGTCGACCGTTTATTTCTGAATACTTTATAGATGAAGAAATTTCCAGTGAAACCCCAGATTTATGATAAAGGATATAGAGCACAGCAAAATAAGATTAAGACAATCGTGTTTGTGTTTCTATAGGAAGGAATAGCCAGGTGGCACGGTTGGCTTGGTGAAGGATCCTAACGAAACTGAAAATTTGAAAAAGATAGTTGATATTGAATGGATTTGTGGATGGACAATATTATGAAATAATCAACTGATATAAAAATTCGAAGTTTTATAATATACAAAGTTTATGATAAAATTTTTACCAAGTTATTTGGATTTTGATCTTAAAAGAGCATACAAATAATAAATCAATTAAAACGTTTTCTTTTTTCCCACTTATAATTTACATATTTTGTTAGAAGGATTACACAATTTTGAAACGCATACCAACTGAAAGAACAACTACATTGCGATTATTATCTTTGTAAACACACGTTTCTAAGTTCTATTTATTTTCTGTTTCTTGTCTTGTCTTGTCTGCTTAAGAATGTATTTAGCGTTAGTTTTGTTATTGCTTATGGTATGATATGCGCTTGGTGTTGTTTATGTCTTTTACTCGAGGCCAGTGGTCGGCACACTCATTCGTCAAAAGAGCCACACAAAAAATATCACCAGCTTGAAGATTAAACCTTTTTAGAGAGCCAATTTTCTTTTTAAGAACATGCCAAAAACCATTTTGTTCGGAGTCAAAACCAATTATTGGCACATCCGCACTCAGGTCGCTAAAGAGCTGCATGCGTCTCGACGATTGCTCCAGGGATATGATAATGACGTACTTTCACCAACACACAGAGTCCATTTTGATGAATATTTATACAAAATTTTTGAGTTCCATTACACACAGATCTTACATTTGGCCATGAGAGTTCCCCTAAGAATCTTAGCAATAGAACTAAACATACTGACGGGACGACCGTCAGCTCTACAAAAAATATAGTTATCCATATGCGTTTATACTTTCTATTCCCCCGCCCTCCACATGCACCACTGTCCACCCGCACAAACTACCCCTCAAGTATCCGCTTACTTAATAGTAACCCTGTACTTGTAGACCGATCAGAATTCAGGCACACTAACTCTCTTTGCACTATCATTACAAATGCATATTCTTACAAAACAAACTCACAAGGATTCTAACACACTGACACCGAAGCGTCCTTGTAATTGTCTTGTCTCTATTTCAAGCCTAAACACATCATGTTCCACCATTTGTTTACTTTACATGGCTTCACCACAGTCCCCCACATATTATCCTTTAATAGGTAATCATAACGTAAAGTAAGATTCAAGTGATTTTTTGTTGTAATATTAAATATCATGCAGGTCTTGTGACTCAAGTCTAGTTTTGTAGCTGTTACAGTCACTCCTGAGGTTTCGATTTTAGCACTAGAGGTAGGCCTTCCGGTTGCGGAACTGGAGATCTGGTTAAATGTGAAGATATTTAGTGTTAATACTAATTTTTGTTAATTTAAAAAAATGTTTGTAACATTAGATTCATAAAATGTTTCCAGTTAGTTGGAATCTTTTTTTAAAGAAGCTCATTATTTTTTTGCCCACGTGATGTCCTGAACGTCAAGACCCTGGGGTTCCTAAAGCGCAATCTAAAGATCGGCAACTCAAGCCTTGAAAGAAAAAGCCCATAAAGCCTTTGACCGCCCTCTTTTAGAGTACTCTTCTACAGTCTGGGACCCATTCACCCAGAAAAGCATCGACAGTTTGGAGGCGGTCCAGCGACGGGCCGCACGCTTTGTCCTAAACCGCTACAGAAACACCTCAAGTGTTGGCAGCATGCTAGAAACACTGGGCTGGTCAACATTGGAAGAACGACGACGACTATCCAGGCTCACCATGTTGTTCAAGATAAAAAATGGGCTGGTCCACTGCTCCGCAATCAAACAGGAACTCGTTCATCTTCCCCCTAGACAGCGGCAAGGCCACGACAGTCAGTTCCGGCTGGTAAAAACAAGAACAAAGTTCAGGAGCTCCTCATTCCTGCCGAAGACAATAGGGGACTGGAACACGCTTCCAAAAGCAACAGTTGAGGCGGCTACACTCGACACATTTGTGTCTATTGCCTCCTGTATTCCAACCCCCAGTTCGTAACATCACTGCTGAGTCGCCCTTGCAACCAGTGAAGCATTCCATTGAAACCCATGGACAGTAACATCGCGAACCCCTCTGAAATATAGGAGCCAGAATGATCAATTCATTGATCGTGGGCCCTTAACATAAAGAAGAAGAAGACGTCTAATACATCTAAACACGTGTTTATAAATTTTTACATGACTTTATTTATTCAAATGTTTGCTTACTTTTATATTTATTCTTTTACATAAAAGTCTTGCGACACAAAATTGATCTTGGTGACAGACCAGTGTGTCACGACACACATATGACGTTGACGTTGTACCACTGTGTCGCTACACATAGATTAGAAAGCGCTACTTAAAAGTAAACACTTACTGTGAGTGTACAATCCTGACTTGATTGCAAGAATTCAGATTGTCGTGGCCGAACTCCTCGTCATCTTCCATTATTTTGATGTTACCTGTAAAGTGCAACTCAACTCTGTAATCATTGAGCTGCTCCTGAGCTACGTATTCCACTTTCAGCTGTAAGCAGAAACCATTATAACTTATTGTGACAACACGTAAGAAGGTTAAAATATCAGAAATCATAATATCTTATGGTAACAACTAACTAGATGGTTGTCACGGCAGAAACCATAATTTTAAAGACTTAAACTATTGAAGGTATTAGAGGTAACATTATCTAATTGTGAGTTAAAGCAAGATGGTTACTTTAGCAGAGACGATCGTATCTTATAGTAAACTTATAGCAAGAATCCTACAAAAGCACAAACAATAATAACCCTTGTAACGTTTATTAAGAATTAATAAATAAATTGTACCTAAATATCATCCTAATAGTAAGAAGAATTCTATTTCAATGCTGAAGTTATTCACCACCACCCCCCTCCCCCACTTTTTTCTCTTTTTCTTTTTTTATATAGCTTAAAAACAAGTTTATTGTCTTATCATATATATGTACAAATCAAAGAAGTAAAGAACCACAATGTATATTTATTTATTGTTTAAAGAAATACAAAACCAAACAATTGCGTCGGCGGGAAATCTGAACTGCCATCTACTAAAATTACTAGACAAAACTTGCATCCAAGTGACGCATAAGAATATCTATTAGTCCAAACCTCTGGGAATGTCATTTTGCGCATTTTAACACATTGCTACAACCATTGCGAAATACGCAGACAATGTATACATGTGACATTAGATTTATTACTTTAAATAACAGGAGCCCTTAAAATGTTTGAAAGTTTGTGGCCCGGTTGTGGCCCGGTTGTGGCCCGGTTGTGGCCCGGTTGTGGCCGGTTAAACGTTATTCATCTCTGTTGATATGTGTTTGTATAGTTGCATTGAATAAGACTCCATACAAGGTATGCTATATAATAAACTAAAAAAATATAATCTATTTCTTATCAGTCAAAATGCCAACATCCCAAATAATCTTCTTATAATTGTTAAACACGACAACCCCCCCCCCACCTTTTTTTTGCCCCCACTCACCCTCATATTCTGTAAATCTCGAAACTCTCTTCTATATTTCTGACATCACAGTGCCTCAGACTCCCCTACTGGTTATGCTAGTTAGTCTGTCTTTAGTACTGATCTCTCTCTCTCTGTCTGTCTCTCTCTTTCTCTCTCTCTCTCTCTACTGTTTTTATCATTTTAAAAAGTTTTGTAAGAAAATAATTGATGAACGTATTACTATTGCCAGTGACATACAGACAAGTTACTATTATTATCTACCGTTCACTCACTTCAAAGGCCGTGCATTTCTCAAATATTCTTTTCTGAAAAGGTTGTCCATCAGGTAGCACGAGCATTACAATAATGCCTGCTGACACTACCTCTGAAACAAAATATGTCTGTTACGGAATTCATCTACAGATTTGACCTTTTGAACTTTCTATTGTTTAAAAAAAAAAAAACCGACGATAAAACGGGGACAAAAAGTAAACAAGACAGAGTGGCAGACAGGGTTTCTTTTAGCTATATCTCCGGGAGGGGAAAGCCAAGTACCCCCGGAACAAAAATTATGTCCAGCAAATAAATCAACCCCCCCCCCCTTCCTCCATAGAAAACTCTAAAGTGAGACTCGGGGGAAAATGTTTGAAATACTCACTAATGGCAGAGTGAAAGGGAGAGGGGACAAGAGAAGAGACATAGATAATGGTAGAGCCAGAAACAGAGTTGGTGATGGGGATTATAATTAAAACGTACTATTAAAAAAAATGTGTCTTTTTTCTCGAAAGCCGTCAAATAAACGGGACAATCGAAATTTAAAGATTCAATGCTCAAAATATAATACCATTTAATTTTAAAAAAATATTTTTATGATAAACGTGTACATTATGACACAATGAATTTATAAAAACTTTCTATCACTTTATTACCTGGACTGACCAGTTGGGTTGTCATGTTGAATTACTTTTTTTTTCTCTCAAATATTCACTGGGCAATCATTTAATTTTGAATGGACGTCTGGAAAAAACAAACAAATATAAGTGCAAATGATTTATGACTAATGTGTAGCTCGTAGACTGAGAATAAACCTGTCAAAGAAAATGTTAATTGTTTTATTGTATATGAAGTCAACTACTTTAAAATATGTAATTCATTTCATTTTATTACCTTAGTTAATGCCTTGCCCTATAGATTCAGTTTGGCCCTAATTAAAACAAATGTTGATATTAAAGTATATGCCGTGAGCCAAAGAATATAGGGAATTTCTGGAGAGCTAAGTAGTTTATTTAAAGATTCGGAAAATACAAACTGAACTTGTAACCCTTTTAAATAGCTGTTCGGACCGGGTCCCTTTAGATACATGGCTATTCGGACCGGGTCCCTTTAGATTACATGGCTATTCGGACCGGGTCCCTTTAGATACATGGCTATTCGGACCGCGTCCCTTTAGATGCATGGCTATTTTTGGACCAGGGTCCCTTTAGATACATGGTTATTCTGACCGAGTCCCTTTAGATACATGGCTATTCGGACCAGGTCCCTTTAGATACATGGCTATTCGGACCGGGTCCTTTTAGATTACATGGCTATTCGGACCGGGTCCCTTTAGATTACATGGCTATTCGTTCCTGAGTCTCTTTAGGTTAAATGGATTCTAGGACCTAGTAGTAGTATTAGAATGAAAGTTTTGTTTTTTCTTTTGATTTCTTTTTCTTTGTTATTTTAATGGTTTTGTCCCTTAAATTGTTTTGTTGTTTTTGTAATTTTTTGTTTTCCTTTTGCTTTGTTCAATTTCTTAGTGGCAGTGGCGTAGTTAAGGTTGGTGTAACGCGGTGCGGTAACTTATGGGGACACCCCTTCACCCCGACTTCCGCGATGGATTTTTGTTGTTGTTAAAATAAGTCCACATTATAACAATGACAAGAATTTAAAAAATAATTGAAGGTCGGGAGGTAAATGTATTTATAAACTGTAACAACTTTAAGTAACAGTTAGTTTTACATAAAGTTTCTTTAAAATGTTCCTTTCCTGGACTTTAAAGCTGCTAACATGTCAATCACTTGATCAAAATCAATATCCTTCACCGTATCACTTTCAATTGATAGGAGGGCCAAATCAGAAAGCCTTGACTTTCCCGTGGTGGATCGTAAACAGTTCTTGATAATCCTTAGTTTTGAAAAGCTCCGCTCAAATAAAAAAACGGGCACACATATCATAAGAAACAATTGAAGGACTATTGAAGTAAGAGATTCTTTTACGTCACTTTCAGCTATGAATTTCAAAACATCAATTACTGACCAGTCCATGACTTTGTAAAGTTTATTATCATCTGCCTTTATGTGTCTTCTTAGCTTTGGTATTTCTTTTAGAAGTGCATAAATAGAAAGAGGATACTTTTGGAATGGATACCAATAATTCTTCTTTACTTGGTGTTAGTAGAGTTTTTGATTTGTAACATATCTGCAACTTCCTGGAGTTCTGAATAAAAGCGATCAATTTACTCCATCATGTCCCTACTGCTTTTCTTCTCGCAGAGAGAGTCCGTCATCTATTGTTCTCCTGCCATTCTCTTCTCAAACCTTAATCTTCTCTTTGCCGAAATTTCATATTGATCTGAATTTTAAAGTGCCTTTTCAGTTTTATGTTCCAAAAAGTGATAGCGCGTCTCGTGCAGAAATAATCTTAAGGCCTCTAGGTTGGTCACTATGTTATCAAGAGTAAAACATTATTCTGCATATCCTGCTGCGTAAGATTAATTTCCCCAAGTAGATCAACCCAAAAGCAAATGTAGCAGATAAACGTGGAATCACGGACTTTATGTAACAGAAATTGTGCTGTACGTGTTGTATCCTAAAGTTCAAGAGGATTACAAGGAGCTTCAAACGCCGCCACAAATTCATCAACCTTATCTTTCAGTTTGAACAGCAGCATCATGAGCACTCCAATGTGTTGTTGAAAGTATTTTGACCGACATTCCAGTATGTTTATTAAATAAATATCCTATCGATGAGCGGATGCAGCGAGAAAGGAAAATATTCTTTAAAGAATACCGAAAAACGTAATGCATGAAGCATGTTTGTCTAAAGAGTTTTGACAACAGAAGTTAAGGGATTTTCACACAAATCCAGATTGGCCTCAACACCTCTATGGATTCCAGACATTGTAGCAGCCTTATCATAACCTTCAGCTCTGCTCTTCATTATCTCTTGTGAATCACGTTTAATTTGTAAACATGGTAGAACTAATGTCATCAGCTTTCACACCCCCCCCCTCCTTTTTAAAGGAAAAATCAAAAAAAAAAAAAAAAACCCAATTCTCTCTCTTTAAATTCCTATTGTGGATTTTCACATATCTTTCATTATCTCTTGTGAATTACTTTTAATTTTTAAAAATGGTAGAACTAATGTCATCAGCTTTCACACCCCCCCCCTCCTTTTTAAAGGAAAAAACAAAAAAAAAAAAAAAAACCCAATTCTCTCTCTTTAAATTCCTATTGTGGATTTTCACATATCTGATAACTTCAGAAATCTGGTCACTGTGGAATATATCAGGTGTACTATTGAACATAATTCTAAAATACCACGCATTAGGATGCGAAAAGTGGTGCTGCGTGTCTGGGTCCATTTGACTCATTGCTATTCGGATGCCATTTATGGAATTTATTTGAGTTAAACTGAAGAATTGAGTTTACAAACATATAGTCCATTCAATTATCTTTCATTTGATACCTCATTTCGTCTTACAAACCCAACAATAAAATTTTAAATAATTTTTTAATCCCAACCTTTCACTTCTGGTACCCGGTTACGAATAGCCACTTCGTTTATGAAAAGATCAGGGGCACCAAATGTAATGAAAATCGAGGTAGAGAGTTTTCCACGCTCTTTTTTTTTCATGGTGGCTTTTGAAAATTGATTTCCCTAACTACAGTGACTCTTGATGTGATGCCTTATCCGTTATGATGGCAAAATTAAAATAAAAAATACTATTGGGAGTTGTCTTAAGGATTGGTTGGCTTGGGCGTCTGAATTTAATTCTGCTTGGAGATAGGCCTAAGAGTCGATGAAACATTGTGAGTTTTTCTTCGGTTATGATAGGATTCATTTTGTATCTACCTAGAAACGCTGTTACAGAACCACGCCAACTTTAGTGTGCATTCTTTCTGTTACGGTCTCTCGTTCAGTACGAATGTTCAATAACCCAGTGCGCGTCATACAGTCTCATCATACCAGATCATAAGGTTAGTTGGCGTCATGGGATTGGATAATTTTTTTTAGACAAAATAGACAAAAAATGTATTAAAGTAAAGAGAAAATAAAGAGAAAGTAACTAAGCTGATGTCCTGACCTTTCGTTCACCATACACATACGCTACAGTAAATTAAAACTACATTAAAACATTACTACAAATTTTTTGCCTCCCCCCTAGAAAGTTAATCGATTTTTTGCCCCCCCCCCCCCCCTTAGAAAGTTTTCTGCGTGCGCCCATGGTTGGCGTCCTGCTGTTAGGTAGTGGCAGGTTAACTTCGTTTATAGCATTAAATTTTCCTAATTACTGTGTATTAAAAAAAATTATTAATCTTAAAGTATAAAACATTTCATTTATAAAAGCTATCAATTATTACTAAATGTTTATTGTTACAAAATATTTATAATATCACAGTCTTAAACTCCACCAAGATGTTTTTCTGAAATGTACATAACATTTTTTGAGACAAAATTAAATTTAGACCAGAGGGAAAGAAATTGTTACTGGTATATCCGTTCTGAAATGTAGATATTTTATTGATTTTCCCCCTCAAAACATAATGTAGTATTAATATCATTACTTCCACTATTATTAATGTTATTATTATTTTTTTGTAATATTTTTTAAATCATATTTTTATGCTCAAATTTCATTAAATGGTGTCAATTTCTAAACTTAGAAATAACATTTTTAGCGACTCTGAAAAAAAATCACAACACATTTTTGTGACACAACGTCAATGAATTAATTATTTATTTATAATTCTCTTGTTAGGTTTGGAACATGTTATGAATGGTCACTATAATGATCGTTCACAGTGGTCTCTTTAAAAGATATATCACTAAGACTTTTAATGTGACAAAACTTGAAGTAATATGAATAAATTGCTGAAATAAAAATCACGGAACTGTTTCGTAACTACTTTCGGATGTAATGAGCAATGTGTCAGAACGGAAATTTGTAGAAGTGGTTGGGGGTAACGGAAATAAGCAAACAGAGTTTGGGTATCGGAATATTTTTAGTGAAAGGAGAGTGCAAGAGTAAGGAGAAAGAGGGTTGTAGTTGTTGAGTCACCAAGAGTATTTAGTGTATAATAGCCTTCGTGTTGGAGTATGAGGCGTACGATGATTAATGGAGCGGAACCAAGTAAAGGGTCGTCCATTACGTATGTCAACAAAATAAGGGGAAAGGAGTTTGGAAATGTTTGACAATTGTTGACAAGGGGTAAGGGGGGTTAGATTAGTTAACGTCAATAATCATGTTTTCTCAATTAAAATGTCAATTAAATATTTACTGGTTATTACATAATTTTAATAAATTTAATGAGTGTAAATTAAAATAGTTATATAATTTTTAGGCCTTTAACCATATACGATTATTTTAATGTGTGTCTGTCAGTAATCTGCTGATGGCTGGTCAGAATGTTAGCACATTTAGTTAATGCTAAAGACTCTTCGACTGTAGATTCTATTTGTTGGAAATGACTAGGGTGGTATGTCTGCCGTCACGTTGCAGGTATGGAACAAGGTCAAGGTTCAAGAGTCATGGCGATCACGATAAATGTCATTGCCAGAGTGGGAATACGTTATTTTAAGAAATAGGACAGTGTAAGATGAGTAACAATAATAACATCGCTGCTTGAACCAATTTGAAATATCTGAAACATTTATTTTTGCATCGCAAGTCATGTTGAAATAGCAAGTTCAACAGCACCGACAATGAGTAAGAAATTACCACCTGCTCCTCAACAAAAAAAGGATTCGAATAATACAAGTAGCTGCCAGGAGACAGAGAGAGTTTATGGCAATTATTGTTCACACTGACAAAGCTTCTATTTTAAGTGCTGAATGGTTAGATGAAGATGATGTTGACTTGTCTGGTATATCAGTTCCGCAAGATGAAAATGACAAATCAGCTACTATGTCAATTGTTACGATCGAGCAACACCTGGTGCCTACCTGGGAAGATGATTGTAGCTACAAACTATGCTACAATTGTGAGCTATGCTGACAATAATAA